ATTAGTGCGGCCCGAAAGGGAAGGAAGCCCGTTGCGTCTTCATGTAGAATAGCGCGAGGCGAGGCTTGGCGAGAGCAAAATTCGCTTTCCATTTTAAAGACTGCAGAGTAGAAGAGCTCTAAGTATAAGAGCGCACATGCGCCCATCCCGGGTTCTGTGGCGCGCCCGCGAAAGGGAGGAAGGGCGGGGGAGGCCGATGCACGTGCCTTGGGGGAATAGGGGAGTGGTGCGTCCCCAGAATCAGGCCCGGAAAAGGGTGAATGGAAATGCGGGCCGAAAGATGTTGCGGAGAGCCTCTGACGTAGATAAATAAAAGTAATTTGCCTGGGCAGCTACAGCCTCTGTCTTAATTCCCCCTCCCTGATAATGGGAGAATTTGTAAAAGCCAGTTTTTCTTCCCTTCCCCCATTGTCTGTTCTGATCATCGTTGTGAGCCCCAAGAGTGAGACAGATCAAGAATAAAAGAAAATTTGACAGTTCAAGATGAGGGGAATGAGAACATCGAGTAACGAGCATTGTATGAGGAGTCAGGGGTTCTAATCGGTGCCGTTGACTCTACCAGCAAACTTGGGCAGAAAGGTCTCAATAGTCTCATCTGTATTGTACTATGTAGGGAGTGGGCTAAGTGATCTCCAGTTCTTTACATCAATGCAAATGTTTCTAAACCTCTCCCAAAGTGAAATGGGGGGGGTAGTGAAGAGAGAAGTCCATCAAATTAGAGGGGAGTTTGGAGGACTTGGGTAGATCTGTTTAGTTTGGAGGGTGTCAAGTTTTCAACTTTGCCGACCCACACCCCATTAATCCATTCACGAGGGCCTGGGAGGAGAAATCTTATCATAGGTTTGCCATCTGTCATTTTGTCTGTCTTCCTCTCCCCTTCACATCTTATTTCCGGTAATTCAATCAATGTTACCAAGGCTACTGAAAAGGGCTTGACAATCTTAGTGACTGCCTAGACCAAAAAACTTCTTTCCCTAGCTATTATGTCCTAAGTGTTTTGTATTCCTAGTGCCTGTCACATGAAAAGCATCTCATAAATTTTGGTGGATTGATAACAAGAGGAGACTCGTGCAAAGGAAAACATGTTGAAGTCTCTTTTTGCTTCACTGTCTTACAGTTGAGTTAGCTATTCCTTTGATTGAAGGCTGTGCCATCTGGTACCTTTGGTTTGTTTTTCTTGTTTCTTTTCTGACATCTTGATAACAGACTCTGCTTTTTTGGATTCTACTGAAGCATGTTTTTGCTTCATCCCATCAGTTTGATTCTGTATATATCCACAGAAAGTAAACATCTGAAGGGCAGAGATCTTTTCATATAGTCTTTGTCGTTTAGACAATTCCTTGCCCATAGATAGTAGTAGGCCCATAAGTGCAAAGTGCATACTAGTAATAAAGGGAAAATAAGAGTCAATCTGGTACTCCCCAAGGTTTGAATCACCACTGTTTGTATAACCATGTGTGCTAGGTCTAGTAGCAAAAAGAAAGAACTCAATAGAAATAATGCTGAGTTGTTATATAAACTGTACTTTACCAAGTTGGACCATGCTACATTTTGCTTATCTCATTTCTTCCTCTTCTTTTAGGTCCACCCAGCCTCCTGGGCCCTCCTCCCATAGCCAATGGGAAGTTTGGTGGCCCTGATCCAGGTGAGTGGAAAAGGTCTGAAAGGACAGGTGTGTCTAGATTGATTCTGATTAACACATATTAAATACATATTATGTGCAAGACATGCTGGAGTTTCCTGTAGGAGAGGACAAGTTTGGGGGATTGGGAGAAGTGGGGAATGAGACTCAAGAAGAAAAATAATTTCTGGGTTTTCCTGGATTTAGTTGACCAGGAGCTATCTTTGTCTGTCTCTCTTTAGGCTTCCACAGAGGCCCTCAGGGCTTAAGGGGACCAGTGATTCCACCACTCCTGAGCCTTCCACTTCCTTTCTGGGGAGGTTGCCCAATGAGAGGGGGCCCAGGCCCCAGGCCTCGACCATACCTACATAGCCGATGGGCCTATGAGGATCCAGAACCTAGGTGGGGAACAGGCTATGGGGACCATGCCAGGAATGGTCCTCCCAATGGATGGAGAAACCTTGGAGGGGGCAGTAGTCACCATCCATCTAAGAACATCCCCTGGCCTAAGAATGCCCCTCAATTCAAGGATGGCGTCCAGGAAGGTGATAGAACAGGTTAGTAACGTCACCTTGTATGTTTTATTCCTGTTAGTAGCACGTAACTGTGTCCAGAAGACAGTGACTACAAATCCCAGAAGCCCTTCTACCTTCACTTAGAAGGTACCTCTCAATTTTCCTCTCTTAAAACATTATCCTAGGGAGGCTGAAGACTATAGCAGTGCTTAAAATGTTTCCTTTTAGCATCCCAGAGGTGTCCCTCTGGTTTTTGTCTTCCCAAAGTCTTATGCTGCCTTTCTCCCACTTGCTTCCACAGATAAATCCAACCGCCCTGTCTGCAGACATTTCTCAAAGGGCCACTGTCGCTATGAGGATCTTTGTGCCTTCTACCACCCAGGGGTGAATGGACCTCCGTTGTAAAACTGTGCCTTCCACCAGTCAGGCTCCAGTGGACCTTTTCTATCCTGGAAGCCCGTTGCCCTGTCATTCTTTGTTGGCTTCTCTGAGGTGTTTCTGCCCAGCACCTCTGGCCAAGGAAGGAGCCTGAGCCTGACCCTCTCCCTCCCCTACCTGGGGCTCTGGGAGGATGGGTAGGGGGCAGGAATGTCAGAGGAGGTTTTTAAAAAAGTAATGTTTTATTGATACTTTTGGTTTTTACACCACTGTCACTTCCCAGTAACACCCTCCCCCAACCCTGTCATGTAACAAAGAAAATCACTTACACAAACTATCAAATGGACCGCATCTCACAGTGTATGCAGCATTCCACATCAGTAGTGGTCTGGGAGGTTTTGCAATCATTGTTCTGCATCATCTACCTTTTTCTCTGTTGGGGGTGAGGGATGTTGTAATTTGAACGCTGTATCCCTTTATTCTTTCCCAGTAAGTGACTTTCCCCTGATAAGTTGTAATGGAAACCCAATTGGTGCTGTTCACCCACAATTTGCCCCCTTCAAGTATTACTTGTGGTTCTTGTGAGCCCTGGATAGTTTTGAAAAAGGACATCATCTTGATTCCATTTTTGTCTCTTAGTGGTCCCCTCCAACCCCTTCCTCACCTTCAGCAATAGGAGAGCTGAGAAATGCCCTTTAGCGACATACCCTGTGGTTCACCAGATTTCCCCCTCTCCCTTAAGTCACTCTGAGTGTGAAATAGTGAGTGGCCCCTTAGCTTACTCCCAAATTTTGCTTCCTTCTCTCCCCTTTCCCTACCTCCTGTCAGCTGGATTCTGTGAATCTCCACCCAGTATAGATCTCTGGGCAATGAAATTCCCCTTTCTCGCTGGGTGGAGCTTAGATGATACTACTGCCTTCTGCCCTTTTCCTTACCTTTACCCCCAGTGTAGGTTTTCTGTGAAAACAGATAAGTTTTGTGACTAGGTCCTGGAGAAAGATTAGGGAATGTGGGAAAAGGGAGGGACTGGAGCCATGACTGGTTGAAGAGTCTTTGTTTTAGCTTTTTTTTTTTAAGTAATAAACTCAGAGGAAACATTTTATTTAATCCTGGTATTCCTGTAGTTTTTGTGTATGAGGATCATAGTGTATTCTAGAATAGGCTAAAATACAAACTCTGTCCAGCAATTTAAACCTCTGTACTCTGGCTCCAGCCTATTTTTTTTTCAGGCATATTTCCCATTACTTTTTATGCACTCTTAGATTTCATCCCCAACTGGCTTATTTGCTGGACATTACATTACATTTCCTGCTTCTGTGTACCTTATCCCTATGCCTGGAATGCTCACCCTCCTCACCTTTACCTCTTGGAATCCCTAACTCTTAAAGGCTCAGCTCACATGAAACATCCTATATGAGTCTTTTCCTGATCTCCCCAGTTGTTGGACTCCATCCCGATTCCTTTGTATATACTTATCTATATTCATGTTGTTTGTATCTTTCCTTTCCCCTGTAGTAGAATGTAAGCTCAAGGGCAGAGACTTGTTTTTGTCCCAGTGTGTCCCTGTTGCTGAGTACACTGCCTTGCACGTAGCAGGCACTTAATAAATTCTTGATTTGAGTTATATTGAATTTTTGAAGGCAAGTCTGGTTCGATCACTTTGTTGGTGGTCTTTTGTCCCGTGTAGGGTTGTGTGTTGTCCTGATTAGGCTATATTCAGAGAGGAGCAGTGGACCCCTCAAAGCTTTTACGTAACTTGTCAGTCCCACTGAACTGCCAGGTCTTTAAGATCTAGGGTATAATTTCGTGGATTCAGAGTTGGAAAGGAACTGGGAGGTTTTCTAGTCTCTTTCCTCACACCACTTACCATTTTACAGAAGAGGAAACAGGCTCTGGGTTGCTAGTGACTTTTCTGAAAGTCACATAGATGGTAGAGCCAGGAATCAAAACCTCATTCATCGACCTCTGAGAGAAGATGTAGTGAGTGCACTTGCCACTGCCCTGTGCCATCTGCCCATTATGCTAACGCAATCACTTGGGCAGAAAGACTTCTGCCCTGATCCTGGACATCGCCTCCCCACCCCTGGGCTCCACAGCGCCCTACACTGTATCACCGTGGCTTGGACTAGGTGCTTTAATAGTTCCACGTAGGAATCGGGGGATGCCCGCGGCAGGAGGCAGCTCCCAAAATGGCATATGCTCGCCCTTAGAAAGGCTGCGGCACCTTATTCATCTTTATTAGTCTTTTCGACTAGCCATAGCTCCCATGAGTCACATTTGACGATCCTGGCCGGGACGCCCAGCCTCGTAAAAGCTAGGAGAACGCTCAGCAGCCTCCGCCTCCCCTCCTCAGCTATTATTCATACTGCCTTGTATGAGACGGGCGGGCCAGCGCGTGCTTGGTAGAGAGCTGGATCGCGTCCGGGTCGCCTCTTCAGTACCCTATAGGATTCCGTAGGTTATTGAACCCTCCCCCAGCCACCGGAAGCGGAAGTAGAGCTAGCCGCAGCCGGAATAGTTTCAACTGTCGCCGAGATGCCGAAGGCGGGGAAGCAGCAGCCTCTGGAACCGGAGTGGATTGGGGATCGAGAGAAAGCAAGCCCCGCTGGTGAGAGAGCAAGACGGATCAGTGGAAGGCGAGACCAAGGGGAGCCTGGGATCGCACGCGGCCGAAGAAGGAGGGGGGAATCCGGCGCGAGGCCCATCCTAGCCTGACGTCTGTAGGGGAACATGCGACCGGGGGGGGGGGAGGCAGTGCGCGTGCGCGGGCTTGGAAGTTGGCCTGCTGGAAGCGTGGGAAAAGGGTCCGAGGACCCTGAAAGTTTAGGGTGGTGTAAGCATAAGTAGCACGGAGGCGGGTAGTGGCTAGGGTAGGATTTGAGAGGAAGGAGCATATCTGAAGAGTGTGTGTAGAAAGTTATGGATGGAAAAATGGGTATTCTTTTTGCTTTCTCCCTCTCCCTGGCCTTTCTTGTATGCTGTCTATTGTGGACACTATTCTCTTATCTCTCTAATCAGTTACCAGTAAGCTAAGGAAGGGAAGGACCTCATATTCTCTCCCTGGGCCTTACATGAAGCCTAGATCTTTTAGGCAAAAAACACCTGTTTTTGTATTCTAAAACCATAGCGCAGTGCCTGGAGTATTTACTAGTTGTATGACTATAGGCAGATCACTTAACCTTTCTGAGCCTGAGGAGCTGTAAAATAAGGCCTGAGGTGGAGACTAGATGGCTTATGTCCGTTGCAATTATAAATGTATGGGCCTATATCAGGTTACTCATAGAAAAAGGCAGAGTGGGAATGGGGGGTGGAGAGGGGAAAGGGGAGATGATAAGGGTGAAGAAGGATCTTGAGATTAGGCCAAATTGAAATGGTTTCTCTTTCCAGAGTCTCTTTGGGGAGGTAAAATGGCCTCATCTGCTAGGTTGGGAAAGAGACCCAGGGACAGGGCTGGCTTCTGTAAGGCCCAGATCTAAGAGGAAAATAGACATTTGCTGAGCTCAGGAAACTTTTAATAGGGCAAATTTGTGCATCTCCTAGGTTTAAAGGTGGAAAGGTAAGGGTGTCATTTACTTTTTTCTCCAGATAAGGTCGTCAGGAAAGGAAAGAAGGACAAGAAGACCAAAAAGACGGTGAGAAAGTTGGGGACTGGGAGGAAAATTAGAGATGGTAAATGGCATTGTTGACAGCCTAAATGTAGAGGGGCAAGAGGCAACACAAGAAGGAAAAGAGGAAGGGGTATGTAAAATTTGATTGAATCACTTTTGACTATAACTTTACTCCAAATCCCCCTCATCTCTTCTTATTTCCTAGTTCTTTGAGGAATTGGCTGAGGAGGAAAAGCATGCAGGGGAGGAAGAAGAGTCGTCGAAGATAGTCAAAGAAAAAGAACAGCAGCAGGTATGTTATGATGAGATCTATAGAACCAAAGGTATCAGAGGTCCATTGTCCATACCAATGATTGTTCACATTAACAGGTGCGGAGTTATATGAAGGGCCTGGGTTTTATTTGACTAATAGCGTTTGCCTTTAGCAGCAACAACAGCAGAAGAAAAAGCGAGACAGCCGGAAAGGGCGACGAAAGAAGGATGTTGATGATGGTGATGGAGAAGAGAAGGAACTTATGGAAAGGCTCAAGAAGCTCTCTGTGCCAGCAAGTGATGAAGAGGATGAAAGTGAGAAAGTGGGAATCTTATACAGAGATCCCCAAAAAGAGTGGGCTAAGGGGGCCAGATTCCTAGTAGGAAATTGTAAGATCAGGCACCCTATTTCTCTTTCCCACTTTACTTTCCTTCTGTCATTTCAGTGCCTGTCCCAGTACCTCGAGGTGGGAAGAAAGCCAAGGTAAGTTGCCCTACCTGGTAGATGGAAGTCTCAGATAACAGACAGAATTATGGGTTTCATTTTCTCACTTGTACTCTTCCTTCCCTAGGGTGGTAATGTGTTCGCTGCCCTGATACAGGACCAGAGTGAGGAGGAAGAGGAGGAAGAACAGCCATCAAAACCTGCCAAACCAGAGAAAAATCGAATCAACAAGGTGAGTGGGAATAGCTCTTCTCTCTACAGTTTTGAATTGTGCCAAATTTATGTTTATAAAATTGTTAATTTTTTTCTACTTTTATCAGGTATAGTATTCTAGCCCCTTCTACCTGCCTTGCTGTAGTGCCTGTTTAGACTTTGTGCTTTTCATTTTTGTTTGAGCCTGGTTTGTATATGTAGCCAAAATAGTCTTTCTCAAATGCCATTTTTAATCATGTTGCTTTCTGGTTCAGTAGTTCCTTTTGTTCCCTAAAATCTACACTCATAACAGCCAACAAAGCCCTCTATTTATCAGGCTTCTGGGGTTTTTTTGTACTTAATTTTTCACTGTTCCCCAAGCACAGCACATCCATTACAGTCAGTATCCCTTAGTGTCCATCTTTCATGTCCCTTTTCCCCATGACTGGAGTTCGAACCTCCAGAGAGAGAGAAGCATCTTGGGGCAGTGGAAAGAGCACTGGATTTAGAGTCAGAGGACCTCAGTTCAAACCCGGTCTCTGGCATTTGCAGTGTGGTTGGTTTTGAGCAAATCACTTCATCTCTCTGGGCAAAATGAGGAGCTAGGTTACTTCTGAAGTAGCTTCCAGCTCTAACTCTGGGATCTTGTGAAATCTCCTGAAATCCATATCCACAACCTTTTAGGACACATTTCTCCAAGGAAAGCTTTCCCTTGTCAGATCTCTGTGTTCCTGCATGTTTGTATTTTTTTACTCATGGCCTAAGTTTCTGCCTAGTCTAGCTAGTCTGGAAACTTCTGGGTCATTGAACTGGCTCCTAGTTCATTTGTCTCTACCTCACAGAAACTATAGAAATGTCAGTAGTTGCTACTGCTTGAATTAAATATTACTAACGCTGCCACACAGGAGTGGGCAGTCTGTAACTGAATCTTTGTCATTCTTCTTAGGCTGTTTCCCAGGAGCAGCAGCCTGAGCAGAAGGTTAGAAAGGGGAAGGAAGAGAAGTCAAAAGGAAAAGGGAAGGTATGGAAAATCCTTTGGGAATGTTGGTAAGAGCAGCAATAGGAATTTCACCTGCTGAAACTTACTGTACTTTCTTTATCAGCCCCAAAATAAATTTGTTGCTTTGGATGTTGAAGAGAAAGAAGAAGAAATATCCAAAGAGAAGGAGCTTTCCAGATGGGGGAAGGATAAACTCAAGAAAGTGGAACAGGTATGGGGTTGCAAGACCAGGCACCTAGCTGCTTCAAGAAGGAAGGAGGACATTGCTGATGGGGCTTGGTGAAGGAGAACAAGGGGACTGGATTCCTGGGATGACACAGAGTATCATCGTAAGAGATGTAGTGTGGCGCGGTGTAAAAGACTCAGTTTGAAATCAGAGAGCCTAAGTTCAAAATCTCATCTCTTTTACTTACCACCTATGTTGACTTGAGCAGTCATTTCACCTTTTTGGGCCTTAGTTACCTCATCTGTAAAATAAGAGGGTTTAATTTGACCTCTAACATCCCTTTCAGCTCAAAGCATATGGTCCTATGATTTATAGGGTAATGAAGTCCCTTTATTTGTCCATCCTCACTTTCTCTCTAATTTACTATATGCCGACATGTTAAATACCAGATGTTACGTTGTAGTCATATGTTACCAATTTCATCTTTTTCTTCCTTTGGTCAGAGGTTGATAAAGTAAAGATATGTGAGGAAACCAGAGACATTTTTGAGGTTCTATTCCAGGTGATACCACTCAGTCTGTTTCTTTGAAGCCTTTTCTGATACCCTCAGTGTCTAGTGTCTTCTCCCTTGCCAAATTAAGTTTTATTTCTTTCTTTCTGTGTTTGTTTTATTACCCAGCAAAATATAAACTTCTTGACTGTTGTTTTTGTCTTTGCATTCCTGGCACCAAACACAGTGCCTTAGCTGTGCACATAATAATTGTTGAATTGAATTCTAATACACACTAATTGTGAAATAGTGCCAGAGGAGAGAGCTGAATACCAAATTCCTAGGTCTTTGAGAGAAATAGGATCATGGCTGGGAAGGAGACCATGAAAGCCAAGTCCTAGAAGGAAAACTTTGGTTTCTTATTCATCCATTCCCACAGGGCTCAGAGGGGGAAGGAGAAGCGGATGAAGAAGACGAGAGTGAGGCCAGAACAGATGATGCCTATGCTCACCTCAGCAAAAAGGAGAAAAAGAAGCTGAAGAAACAGGTGCGGGGGAGATGGACATCACACCTGGATCCTTGAAAGAAGTTATCATGAGGAGCCATATACTTGGATTTCTAGAGCAAATGGAAGTTAGGAAAAAAAGAAACCTAAAGCTTTTGGGAACTATATGGGATCTAGCTGAAGGAAGAAATTAATTGGACCACGTCACCAGGGTTATATGCCTATGTTTGGGGGTGCAGGGAATTGGATCTTATATAAATCCATTTTTTTTTCTGTCTGTAGATGGAGTATGAAAGACAAGTAGCCACACTGAAAGCAGCCAATGCTGCTGAAAATGATTTCTCAGTGTCTCAGGCTGAAGTGTCTTCCCGCCAGGCCATGCTGGAGAATGCCTCTGACATCAAGGTGGGACCTGAAACAGAGAGGGAAAAGACTTATTTTGAATAGGTTGTATAATGGGGGAGAGAACATTTATATTTTAGGTCACCTTATTCCAGAAACTGTAGAACATAGAGATTGACTGCCATTGAAAACAATGGAGAAGTAAGATCAGGAAAAAGATTATTACTCCCTATTTGAGATGGGAAGTGTGGTACAGTTATCCCAGCAAGTCAAGGTAGTGACAGTATTTTCTCTCTTCTACCCTCCCCTGATCCCAGCTGGAAAAGTTTAGCATCTCAGCCCATGGCAAGGAGCTCTTCGTCAATGCAGATCTGTACATTGTGGCCGGCCGCCGCTATGGACTAGTGGGGCCCAATGGGTGAGGAGAGGGAAGGGTAGTAGGTAGAAGGGTTTGGGTCATAAGTCCTGTTCTGACTGCTCTTTTCGTTCAGTAAGGGCAAGACTACGCTGCTCAAACACATTGCCAATCGAGCTCTTAGCATCCCTCCCAATATAGATGTGTTGCTTTGTGAACAAGGTAGGGAGAAAGTGGCATTGGGGAGGGCAGGGAGGATGAAATAATTTGGAAGTGAGGAGGGTGAATTATATGGAGGAGTAGACAAGGAGGTAGCTGGCTGTCTGGGTAGTGAGGGGATATTGGCCTGACATAAGGGGGAGAGGAAGAGGAGGAAGAATTGATGAGAATTTGAGGAGGGGAAATCTAGATGTACTTTACTAAGGAAAGAGAAGCGTATGGGAAGAACTAGGCAGAACTTGGGGAAAGCCAAGAGAGCTCTCAAGGGGGACAGACCAAGAGAAGGAACAGGAAGAGGGAGAGAGAGAGACAGAGTGTGTGTGTGTGTGTGTGTGTGTGTGTGTGTGTATGTGTATGTGTGATGGGAGAGGTTTGCAGTGCAGGCTGGGTTCCAATCCAAAAACCACAACCCTTCTCCACACCCCAGAGGTGGTAGCAGATGAGACGCCGGCTGTGCAGGCTGTGCTTCGTGCTGACACCAAGCGACTGAAGCTGCTAGAAGAGGAGAAGAGGCTCCAGGGAAAGCTGGAGCAGGGAGATGATGCTGCAGCAGAGAGGCTGGAAAAGGTGAAGGATTTGGGGACAAGGATATGTAGCAGAGGGTCGTATGGGACATGGGAAGACATTCAGGGACTTGGAGGCTCTTAATGGGGCTATGTTAATGAAGGAATGAGTGAATGAAAGGTACTTAACTATGTGTCAAGCACTGTGCTAAACACTGGGGTTAAAAGTACAAAAGTAAGAGTCCCTGCCTTCAGGGAGCATGCATTCTAGTAGAGGGAGACTAAACATAAGGATTGGTAACCAGGGAAGAGTATTTGGGTTTGAGAAGCCAAGGGAAGGTGAGAGGAGTCAGTTGGCATGATGGAAAGTGGGGTAGGATGTGAGGCATGGTCTAGGGCTGCCTGTACATAGAATAGATCGTATGGGTAGCAAACCCATTAAGCAGTTTAAGGATTTAGGATCATCATTGTTCTTTTACCTTTCTTCCAGGTATATGAAGAACTTCGAGCCATGGGAGCTGCTGCAGCAGAGGCTAAAGCTCGGCGGATCCTTGCTGGCCTGGGCTTTGACCCTGAGATGCAAAATCGACCCACACAGAAGTTTTCGGGGGGCTGGCGTATGCGAGTCTCCTTAGCCAGGTAGAACTAGACCCACCAATCCCACAATGTCCTTTCCCCATTTTTTGCTCTCCATCATCTCCAGGGACCATCCAGATATGTTACAAAAGAGATAATTCCTTTCTTACTCACTGCTTGTTAGAACAGTTGAGTTCCTAAATTTTTCTTTATTCTGCTTCTGGTAGCATTTTTGTATCTTATCCCCTTTAGCCGAGGGCAGCTAGGTGGCACAGGGGATAGAGTGCCAGGCCTGGAATCAGGAAGACTCATTTTCTTGAGTTCAAATCTGGCTTCAGACACTTAGTAGTTGTGTGACCCTGGGCAAGTCACTTAACCCTGTTTGCTTCAGTTTACTCATCTGTAAAATGAGTTGGAGAAGGAAATGACAAACCACTCCAGTATCTCTGCCAAGAAAACCCCAAATGAGGTCAGAAAGAGTCAGACATGACTGAAACAACTGAACAACAGCTCTTTAGCAGAACACTGGAAAGGTAGGGCATTGGGTAAATGCCTTAGGCTTCTCCTACTCCTATCTCCCATTCCCCATTTTAAAAAAAATTTAACATAAATTTTTTTTGCTTTTTGGTGAAGTAGTCAGGGTTAAGTGACTTGCCCAGGGTCACACAGCTAGTTAGTGTCAAGTGTCTGAGGCCAGATTTGAACTCAGGTCCTCCTGACTCCAAAGCCAGAGCTCTGTCTACTTTGATAGCTAGAGGCCTGGCATTCCTCCCCCCCCCTTTTTTTTTCTAATTTTTTTTTCTAAATTTTTAGGCAATTGGGGTTAAGTGTCACAGGGTCACACAACTTGTAAGTGTCAAGTGTTTGGTCAGAGGCCAGATTTGAGCTGAGGTCCTCCTGACTTCAGCGGCGATCTAACATTCCCCCTTTTTTAAAGGAGACTGAAGGGTGTCTTAGGTGGAAGGGCCTTCTTATCAATCAGGGTTAAAAGAGGCCCTTCTTTTCCTTCCTCCAAATCTCTCCTCCACTCCATTTGATAGGGCACTTTTCATGGAGCCTACACTGCTGATGTTGGATGAACCCACCAACCACCTGGACCTCAATGCTGTCATCTGGCTCAACAAGTGAGTCACCTTCAATCCTAGCTTTGCTCCTGAGCTCCTTCCTGGGATTCCTTTGCTATGATACGTTGATTTGTTTTTCCTCTTTACTTTTCCCCAGATCCCACACATCACTTTAGTTCCCCTGACATCTTCCCAAAACAAACATCTTTCTAGGAACCTCCAGATTTCACCCTTTCCTGTTGTCTTCCTTTTAATTGTCCTCTTTATTTCGAACATTGACAAGCTTCCTTTTTTCCCCCCAAACAAAGCTATCTTCAGGGCTGGCGGAAGACACTGCTGATTGTATCCCATGACCAGGGCTTCTTGGATGATGTTTGTACTGATATCATCCACCTGGATGCCCAAAGGCTCCATTACTATAGGGGCAACTATAGTAAGTGGGGAATGAGGAGGGCATTCACCTGGGGGCTTCTAGCACACTAAAGGGGATGGAGAAGTGGGCAGGAGGGCATAACGATGACCTAAACACTGGTAGGACCCAAAGCATCTCTCTTCCTACTACAGGAGGGAAGAGGGCAGCTGCTGATTATTGCCTTCCATTCCTGTCTTAGTGACCTTCAAAAAGATGTACCAGCAGAAGCAGAAAGAGCTTTTGAAGCAATATGAGAAGCAGGAAAAGAAGCTGAAAGAGCTCAAGGCTGGGGGCAAGTCCACCAAGCAGGCGGTGAGATGCAGGGGCAGGATGGCACACAAGCTATTTTGTTGAGCAGCCCTGACTAGGGAGCTTTCCTCTAAGGAGTCAGGACGCTTGGTGATCCATACCCTTTCAGTTCTGCTCTGGGGTGGGGTGAGGAGATATAACCCAGAGGTCCCTATGGTGTGATCCATGCAGATTGCATGATGCCCCTGCCTCTATCCCCTGTCTCCCCAGGAGAAGCAAACGAAGGAGGCCCTGACCCGGAAGCAGCAGAAATGTCGGCGGAAGAACCAGGATGAGGAGGCACAAGAGGCACCTGAGCTTTTGAAGCGCCCAAAGGAATACACTGTGCGATTCACTTTCCCTGATCCCCCACCACTCAGCCCCCCTGTGCTGGGATTGCATGGTTAGTGGAGAGCCTGTGGGGCACGGCTTGGATATGTGCACATATCCCTAAATCTTCGTGACTGCCTCCGCATTCACCTCCCAGCCCTGTGCCTTTCCCAGTGCCATTTTACCTCTTTTTGTTGTTTGTTTGCTTTACTTGTGCTTTTGATTTTTTTAAAATCACCATTCCTACCTGTTATTCAGCACTTCCCCTTAAGAAAATTCTTTCCTTCTAACAAAGAAAACCAGTTAAGCGAAAGATTCTTGCTTAGATATTTTTTCCTGCTCAAGAATTTGCCCCAAGATAAGGCTAATTCGTTATTTTTGTAGGCCAAGGAAATTGATGAGGAACCCTGGGGCTAATGTAACCATGTCCCCTTTCTTATCCTAGGTGTAACATTTGGCTATGAGGGACAGAAGCCACTCTTCAAGAACTTGGACTTTGGAATCGATATGGACTCAAGGAGTGAGTAGAAGGATATGAGTGGTTATGGGTTGTGGGGAAATAGGAGTGGGAAGCAAAGGAAGATTACCCTAGGAATTTTTTTTTAAATTCTCTTCCAGTCTGCATTGTAGGCCCCAATGGTGTGGGGAAGAGTACACTGCTGCTTCTGCTCACAGGAAAGCTGGCTCCAGTAAGTTTGGGATTCCCATCTCCTATTGGCCTTGCCCTTTCTCTCTACCTCCCATTTTTAGTTTTAAGGGGAAAAACTGAGGAAGTTAAGTATGACTTAATGATATACTTAGTGTGTGAAATTCTATAATTTACCCTTGAAAGAGATAAATAAGGATGTTGGAATTGTAAAGTGGAGGAGACCTGGCATCCTGACCACTCTTCTCCAGGTGAACAGAAATCTCTGTTCCCAAGGGTCTCTGCTACTGGATGCACATCTCCCTAAGGGCCAAATCTAATCCCATATTCCTACAGTCACCTAAGGAAGTTGTACCAGTTGTAGTAATTATTCCTCTTTTCTAGGAAAATTTTTCTACTAATAGATAATATTGTTTGCTTAGGATTAATTATCCTCCTCCACTACCACCATCCCTGTAACTTCTTTTTTCCCTTTCTCCCATAAGTCGGATTTGATAGCAGTTATTCCCGCCTCCACTTCCTAGGTAATAGCAAGAGTACTGTGCACCATCACACACATCTATATCTTGGGTTTTAACTGTTAGCTTTCCCCTCCCCTCCTAGTATTCCTTAGGAGAGCTTACTTAACTGGCCCTCTCCAGACATTGGGAAGTGCCTGACCTTTTAATTTAATGGCTTTGATAATCCTGGTTCTAATGCCTGTCCCCTCTTCTGTTGTAGTTTTATAAATGTGCTTCCTCTCCTCTGAAGTACCTGCTGTACCGCACAGAAGCTGTTCCTAGAATATACAGTGTGTTAAACACAGTGATGATTTATTCTCCCCATTCACTTCGTGCTTGCCTTGAGCAAGACTTGTAATAATTCTGTACTTTGGATGTTTGAAATCATCCTATTTTTCCTAGAGATAAGATACAAACAAAACATGAAAAGATATCACGCTTTACCTTTTTTTTATATGTTTTTATTGGTTCAGTTTTTTACATCTCCATAATGTCCCCCCAGTATCTTTTCCCTTCCCACTCCCAGAGAGCCATCCTGTCGTGGTATTTTTTTTATTGTTATTATACCATTTTTCTTTTCTTTTTTTTAATTAATTTATTTTGATTTATCAGCAATCACTTTCATAAGCTTTTGAGTTTTAAATTTTTCTCCCCTTCCCTCAAAACGGCGTGCAGTCTGATATAGGCTATACACAAACATTCCTATTAAAAATATTTTCACATTGGTGATGTTGTAAGTAAGAATTAGAACCAATAGGAGGAACCACCAGAAAGAGGAAACAAAGCACAACAGAAGGAAAAAAAAAGCAAATAGTATGCTTCAATCTGCATTCGAACTCCATAGTTCTTTCTTTGGATGTAGATGGCATTTTCCATCATGAGGCCTTTGGAGATGTCTTGTATTGCTGAGAAGGGTTAAGTCTGTCAATATTAGTCATCATGCAACGTGGCTGTTACTGTGTACAATGTTCTCCTGGTTCTGCTCACTTCACTCAGCATCAGACTATACCAGTTTTTCCAGGTTTTTCTGAAGTCTAGCACAATAGCATTCCATTACATTCGTGTACCACAACTTGTTCAGCCATTCCTCTCAATTTCCAATTCTTTGCCACCACAGAAAGAGCTGCTATAAATATTTTTGTACATGTGGGTCCTTTTCCCATGTAATAGTATTTTGCATCACTCTCATTTCTCTTCCCAGTTTTTCTTCTTCTTCTCTTATTTGCTTCTCAGAATCCTTTTTAAGCTCTTCCATGACCTGGGACTGGTTCATATTTTTCTTGGAAGCTTTGGATATAGAAGCTTTGACTTTGTTGTCTTCTTCTGGTTGTATGTTTTGATCTTCTTTGTCATCAAAGAAAGATTCTACAGTCTGACTCTTTTTGCACAATTTGCTCATGATCCCAGCCAATTACTTGAGTTTATTCTTTGTTAAGGTAGGGCTCTGTTTCCAGTATGGAGAATGTATTGTCCCAAGATTCGGGGGTTTTGTGCAGCTGTTTTCAGAGATACTTCTAGGGACCTATAAGTTTTCAGTTCTTCCAGGGTGGTATGTTCAAGGGCGAGGTGTTTACTTCTTTCCTGGACTGTGCTCTGGTCTATGAGTGACCACAAGCACTCTTTTCTGCCTTGGAACTGTGAGGAGGGTTCCCTCTGCACCATCTACAAACTCTACCATGCCACCACTCAGAACTGTGTGTGACCTAGATCCAAGCACAGGCAAAGCAAGAAAATCCTGCCTCAGCACCAGCAAAGAGATCCCTGCAATCCCCCTCTGATCAGCCACTCGATTCCCCCTAGGTCTGTGAGCTGGAAGCTCCGGAAACAGCCACTACACCAGGGTTGCTCCAGGACTGGGGCTGAAACTGAGCTTCTCTCTCACCATAGTCACAGACTTTTCCTACTGATTCTCTAAGTTGTCTTCGGTATTTGTGGGTTAAGAAGTCTGGAAACCACCACAACTATCTGTGATTCAGTCGCCTGAGGCCTGGTCTTTGCATGTGGGCCCACACTGAACTGCGTTTCTCTCCCAGCCCAGCATGATTGACCTTTCCAATCAACCACCCAGGTTGTCTTGTGCTGGAAATTTGTTTCACTATGTCTTTTTGTGGGTTCTGCTGCCCTAGAATTTGTTTAGAGCCATTTTTTATAGGTATTTGGAGGGATTTGGGGAAGAGCTCAAGCAAGTCACTGCTTTTTACTCTGCCATCTTAGCTCTGCCGTTGTAATAGTAATATTTTTTAAAGACAAAAAGAAAAAGGAAAGGGGGAAAATTAACATAACTGAGCAGTACATTGAAAAAGTCTGAAAATATGTGCAATATACAGCACTTGTGGACCTCCCACTTTGGCAGAGGGATGGGGGTTGGAATGTCTTTTTCTGTCCTTTTTTGTTTGTCTTGTTTTTGGCAAGGCAGTTGGGGTTAAGTGATTTTCCCAGAGTCACACAGCCTAGTAAGTGTCAAGTGTCTGGTCTGAGCCTGGATTTGAACTTGGGTCCTCCTGACTCCAGGGCCAGTGCTCTGCTTCGCCACCTAGCTGCCCCCCTATCTCTTCTTTTTGAGCCATGCTTCTTGTTTATCATTTTGCAACCTTCACTTTTGATTTTTTTGGGTGGTTTTCTGTTTACATTGTTGTAGTCTTGACTTTTCTTCACTCTGCATTAATATAGAGCTTTCTGTGCTTCTTTGTATTCATTACATTTATCATTTCTAATAGCACAGTAATATCCCAATATTTATGGACTACAATTTTTTGGCCATTCCACATCAGTAGGCATATACTTAGTTTCAAATTCTTTGTTTTCACAAAAAGTGTTGCTGTAAATATTTTGGTGTATATGGGAACTTCTTATCAATGGCCTCTGGGATGTAAAGCCAGTAGTGTAATCTATGGGTTAAAAGATATAAATATTTTAATCACTTTATTTACATAATTCCAAATTACTTTCCAAAATGTACTAATTCACAGCTCCACCAACAATGCACCAGTGTGTCTATTTCCCACAAAGGTTATTAATACTATAACTTACCGTCTTTGCTAATTTGCAGGGTATGAGGTAAAACCCAAGGGCTATTTTGATTTACATTTATTATTAGTGATTTAGTTGTTAGTTAATTGGCGAGTCTTCTTTTTGAGAACTGTTTGTTCATGTTCTTTGACTGCTTAACTATTGAGAAAATAGTTAACTTATTTATTATAACTTGATGATCATAAGCTTTAGCTAGTTGCTAGTTTTCTTGTGTAATTATGTGTATAATGCTGCTGAGCATTATATTCTGCTCTTTTGCAATTAAATGACCAGATTGTTCCTTTGACCTTAACCCTTTTCTCTTATCTCCTGAATCAACAAGTCATATATCTTCTTTCCCTCTCTCGTAACAACATTTTTAGGTAAGGAAAGTTTGGAAGTCCACCTGGGCTCTTTTATCACCCTGCCTTTGCTTGTTTTTTTATCAGTAATTTCATGTGCATAGGTGCTCTAGACCCCATAACACATCCCAATAGTACAGGAAACAAATCACAATTTTTATAACCCATTACCTTGAATTACACAGCTTAGAATGTGCAGGGAAGATTTAGAAACATTTACAGGTGATTATCTGTAACAGGTTAGTGAGGAGAACTTAAGATGTTTAGGAGAAAAACTTGAGATTAGTCAAGAACTTTGATCATGGCAGTGACCAACCTAATCTCTAGAGGATCCATGATGAGTTACCTCCTGACTAAGAGAGGTGATGAACTTGGGGCTCAGAAAAAGATAATCATGTTTGGACGTGGCCCCTGTGTGGACTGCTTATTTGTTACAAAGGTTTTTTTCCTCTGTTTTTAATGGGAAGAGGAAAATTCAGGGAGGGGGAGGAGCTAGCAATAGTGATGATCAAAAAAAGTGTGATTGAAACATTTAAAATGCACAGAAGAGAACAGAAGAATGTTTAGAAGGAAGCCCTGAAAAGCAGGATGATTTTTGAAACTTAATGTGTGGAATTTATTAATTTTTTTTCCTAAAAAGCAAGTGAAATAGGTCCTTTATAATGTGGAGTTGCTCATTGTTTTGTGATGTTTAAATTAATAATTTTTTTTAACATAAAAAGCAATTTTAAAAAACAACTAGTCTAGTAGATGGAGTCTGGTCTAGGACTTAAGAGGGTCTGAACTCTTTTCCTAGCTTTACAGTCCTGGGCAGGTCACCTCACTTTTCTGAGCCTTTTAGCTCCCTCTGTAAAATGAAGGGGTCAGACTAAATTACATTTAAGGGCCCTTCTAAGTCTAAAATGTTGTGATTCAGTGACACGAAGAACAGCTACATCCCTCCAAATTTTCCTTTTGTGCTTCTGTTAGAGAGAGAGAGAAAATAGAGAGCCTGAAAGGTTATACCGTAAGTCTGAACCTGGTTGGAATTTGTTACCTTCCTGTCATGGAGCCTGTCTCTTCTGCCTGTTAAGTTCATTTTTTAGCTGATCTCAGCCAGCTATATTGTCTTACATTTTAGGATTATCTTTGAGGATAAGTGGACTTTTGTACTCTGTTCACTTATCCACTCCCAGTGTGCCTCTGGTATTTATCTGCTTTGAGGAGTTAGGATACATAATTATATCTTCCCTGTTATCTGCTCCTTCTTAATTACCTCCTCTACTTTTCTGTGCAGACCCGAGGGGAGATGAGGAAGAACCACCGGCTGGTAAGTTGACTCTGGAGACCCCAGGAATAAGGAGGCTGGTGGGGAGATACTGTTCCTTTCTGACTATTTTCTTCCTATGGTAGAAAATTGGCTTCTTCAACCAGCAGTATGCAGAGCAGCTGCGCATGGAAGAGACAGCCACTGAATACCTACAACGGGGCTTCAACTTACCTTATCAAGATGCCAGAAAGTGTCTGGGCCGATTTGGTCTAGAGAGCCATGCCCATACAATCCAGATATGCAAGCTCTCAGGTATCTCCTAGGAGAAGGGCTAAGGCAGACTTGATTTACATAATCCAAATACTGGGAGAAACTAAGTTTTTAAGATGGCAGACAATTCTGAGGAAAATGAAGATGTTACTCTCTCTTGTCTCCCATTTCTCCTTGCCCCAGGTGGACAGAAAGCCCGAGTAGTGTTTGCTGAGCTGGCGTGTCGTGAACCAGATGTTCTCATACTAGTAAGTGAACTAAAGATGGAAGGGAAGGGGATCTGAGGACAGGAGGAGAAGGAATGGCTAGCAGTTAGGAGTACTAAGCCATGGGATCCTCTCCTCCTCTCACAGGATGAACCGACCAACAACTTGGATATAGAGTCTATTGATGCTTTGGGAGAGGCTATCAATGAATACAAGGGTGGTAAGTCAGCTTAGTACAATCCTACTTTCCCTACTCTGACTTAAAGTTCCCTTCAAGTATCTTGCGTTCCGCCTCCTATTAGAACTCTGTCTCCAAGGAGATCTAACTTTTCTCTTTCCTGCCTTGTCTTGATTATTTTTTTTTCTCTTTCACCTTTTCCAAAAAGCTGTGATTGTTGTCAGTCATGATGCCCGGCTAATCACAGAAACCAACTGCCAGCTTTGGGTGGTAGAGGAACAGAGTGTTAGCCAAATCGATGGTGACTTTGAGGACTACAAGAGGGAAGTGCTGGAGGCCCTGGGTGAGGTCATGGTGAATCGACCTCGTGAGTGAGGTTTCCTCCTGTACACTCTTCTGCCTGAGTAGCTCATATGGCCTGGATGCTCCTTTCCCTTCCACTCACCATTTGCAAGATAAGGGCTCATCGTCAACCAGTGCCATGACCACTGAGACATCTGGAGGTGGAGCTTTGCCTGGTGTGCCACAAAGACCGTCACCTTAACTGATGCACAGACAAACTAGTAACCTTCTTCAGATGGAAGTACTGGCTTTATCTTACAGTGTAGGTAGAGAAACTATTGATGCCGGGATGTGTCATTGAACTGACAACACCAGCCTCCGCCTCTGACAGATAACTCTGATTCAAATAAGCTTTGCACCACCACTTTACCTGATGGCCTGTGTAGCCCATCTGATGCAGAATAGGGGCTGTGGACTGGGCACTTCTCTTCTCTGACTGTGTCTCTGATCTTCTGCCACCTCCCCAGTCACAACAGGATTTGGTCTAGTTGATAATTACAATTTATAGGGACCCAAGTTATGGGCATAATAGCTTTGGTTCCAATTGCCAGCGCTGCTCTGAGGAGCAATCCTGTTTTATTTTTTTGGTCTGATTGACGCATGGAAAACTGACAGAAGCCTCTAGCTGTATTCCAGAGATGAAGGCAAATATCAGAGGGATCATGGTCTTTAGAGGGGATGGAGCCTGTTTGCTACTGGTGTCTACATTCTCTTGTATTTGTGGATTTGGGGGGCAGGGAAGGAATGCTGCTGAACTTTGTCCCTCAGTTTGCCTGGGGAGGGAATAAAGGAGAGTGAATTGCCGTCCCCTGTCTTTATTTATGGGGTTTTGAGTGTTGAGTGTATTGTTAGGCTATCAGCACTGACTACATGCTGCCCTCCTGTGGCCGGAAGATAAAATAACTCGGGTCTGAAACAAGGTCGCTTGCCAACGAAGAAAATCTGATTTTTCTGCACAAACAGTGTTTATTGATCATCTAGCATGTTCATGGTACTGGAAGGTAGAAAGAAATATGCAGTTTGGTCTTTGGTCTTGTTAGGTTAATGATTTATCTGGAAAGACAATTCACAAGTACTTGCACGCAAGACATTCAACTTGACAACATGAGATGAAATCTCATTTGAATGACAATGTTAGATGACTAGTACAGGCAGTGTGACTGTAGGAATACGGAAGAGAGAATTCTGGGCCATATGAAGACTTTGGATCATAGGATCGTTACTTGAGGCACAAAGGGACCTCAGAGGTCATGTAGTTCAAAGCCCCTCATTTTCCTCTTGAGGAAGCAGGCCCAGGGAAGTTAGTAGCAGAGCTAGAATTAGAGCCCAGAACCTATGACTTCAAATCCAGCAATCTTGCCACTGCGTTACACAGTATGGGGAGGTGGCCTTTGAAGGATGGGAAGAACAAGGTAGTCATTGCATTTAGGAATGACTGAACAGAAGTCTGAGGGGGATAACTGAGAAAACTAAATTCTGCTAGGGTGAAGAGCTGTCAGAAGGAGAATATACCAAGAAGAAAGGTGTTCAGTGCCTGATTAAGTGAGTTTGGATTCACTTTAACTTGTAAGTCAGGTAGATCGGAAGGATAAGAAACTTGAGTTAGGAATTGGTTAATCATGAACGTCGTGTTTTAAGGACCTGAAGCAAGATAGATGTAAAGGGGATGAAGAGGACACTCTCAATAATAATAGCTAACATTTATGTAGCACCTAAAGGTTTAAGGAGCGCTTTATTGAGCCAAGGGATAGATGAGAGAGGCTTGAAATTAAGGATGATTGAGTATAGGGGCCAACAGTTGTGGTCAATGGGGTTAACAACAGTGCTGTTGATAGAAATAGGAGAGGTAGGAGGTGCTGGTTTGTGGAGAAACGTGTTCTGTTTTAGACATGTTAATTTTGAGGTGAAGCTGAACAGCAAAATGGAAATATCTGAAAGGTAAATGAAATTGGAGTTACTTGTGTAGCCATAATAGTTGGAGTCATGGAATTGGATGACATTCCAAAATAAATGAGCAAAAGACCTTTGTGTGAACAAATGGAAACACGATTTCAGAATCAGGAAGCAGTAGAGGGGTCAGGGAAGGGTAAGTTAGAAAAAGTTGGCTGAACTAAAAACACATAGAAGCCAAAGGTAGAAAGTTTTAAAAAGGGAATGGTCGTGTCAGATACTGAAAAATAAAAGAGAATAAGAATTGAGAAAATGTCATTGATTTTATTGATTAGGAGGTCACTAGGTAAAAGCTGAGGAAAGGCATAAGCTAAATTATAGGAGATTCAGGGATGAATAGGTGTGAAGGTATCAACGGATGCCAATCATTTGGTCAAGAATTTTTACAATGAAAAGGAGAGAAAATGGATAATAACTAGAAACAAACAGTACAGCTAATTACATTTTTTTTCCAGAATAGGGTAGGCCTATTTATGTTCAAAGTGTGATAGAAAGTCATTGGAAGGAAGGAAGCAAGCATTTAAGTGTCTGCTATGTGTCAGGTACTTTGCTAAACACTGCTTGCTTGATTCTCTCAACAGTCTTTCATAGGACTGTTATTAGCCCAGTTTCAGTTGAGGAGACAGGTAAACAGGTTAAATGATTAGCCCAGGGTCTCATAGCTAGTAAGTCACTAAGGCTGGATTTGAACCCAAATCTTCCTGATTCCAGTCCCAGGGCTTTATCCATTTTGCTACCTAGCGACTTCTAGGTAAAGTAGAGCCTGGTGATCCCATGAAGAAATTATGATTAAGGGAGCAAGAGATTCATCTGGTATATTTTTGTGATGTACTAGTCCTTGAGAAAAACAGAAAAGATTCGATTCAACAGGCAGTTTTGAGGTGCCATATTTATGTATCTGGAGCAGACTCAAAGACATACATAAATTAGATATAGTCCCTGCCATCAGCTGAGTGAGGGGTATGTACATATGAGAGTACAAAACAACATAAATAAGAGGCCCAATATTCTCATATCAAGGGAAAGATTTCTTGGTAGAGATGTGGGATAAGCTATCCCAGGCATAGAGAATGATGTCAGTAAAGGCAGGAAATGAGTGTCCAAATTTCCCTGGACGATGCTTTCATAGAAGATCAGATAAATTACCAATGTACTGGGGAGATGTGTGGAGTCAGGAAAGGGTATTGGAGAGTTTGTAGCCACACATGAGCTTGTCTCAACTTGTTGCTGGAAGAACAGGGGGTCAGTTATAGTCCAGTGGAGAGATTGCCCTCAGTTTTGCTCAACTTCTCTGTATCTCCCTGTCAATGGATAAGATGTCTTTACCTTTACCTCCGCAACAAAGTGGTTCATCTCCCACAGATGCACAGAATCATGGAATGAGAAATTCTCTGTTCTAGCCTTCTTGAAAAGCCGTCATTTGGTGTCTCAGCGATTGAAGATCTGGAAGGAAAGGAGAGCCACCACCCTTCAAGGTGACCCATTCCTCAGCTGGACAGCTCTAATTATTAGGCAGCTTTCCCTTATTTTGCAGTTAAATCTGCCTATGTATTTTTCATCTGTTGCTCCTGGGCCTGTCCTTTGGGGCAAAACAGAGCAAGTCTAATCCTTCCACAGGCAAACATTTGGAAACAGATCTCATGTGAGACTTTTATTCTCCAGGTTGAACCTACAGATCCCTTCTTTTCCCTCATACAGTATGACGATAGTGTTATTTTGGCTCTGAAGAGATAGTTGGGAATGGGTAGTTGTTCAAATCTTTCTGTTCATTTTATTTTCCAGAGTTAGCAATTGCTTTCAAATTAACGATTTTGTGGCAAGCTAACCAACACAGCACAGAGGAAGGAAATAACTTACATATAGAACTTACGTATCCTAATGAGGTTTACTGAATGACCTTATTCCCAGCCTTCAGAGGTCTCAGCAGGGCTAGACATGTGGCTCTGTGGGTCTTTGAAGCTATGACTTAAATGTGTTTTTCATCAGATATTTGGGCACCATAGGAGAAGCTTATAATAGTCTCAGATGAACTCGTGGAAAGGATAGGAATACTTTCCAGGTGGCTCATGGGGGTTGAAACACCACCAAGATGTCTTGTGGGACTGGCAATACCCTAGATGGAGTGGCAACACCAGAGATACCTCACCAGCTTTCCTTTTTTTGTACAGAAAAGGTCCCATCTCTTATATCAGAGTTGCTGTAGTTTCTCAATTTCCAGGGATTTTAGAGTAGTGATTGACTAAATGGGATTGCAGATGTAGAGTTGAATTGGGGCAAAGATCCCATCAAATCATTAATGACTGCTCCTTGAGTCTGGCCTTCCAACCATTCTCAACTATTGTCTATGCTCCATCCTGCTCCAATTTGAACCCTTCCTTGTATCAAATAATTACAATTAAGCAATTCAACAAGAAAGCAAATCAACACATTAGTTATGTCTAAAAAGGTGTATCTTATTTTACATATATAGTCTTTTGAATGAGAAAATGCAAGCTTCACCTTCAAGTCCTGTGAAATCAAAAGTTTTGTAGAGATGGGGAACCAAGCCTGTCACCTGCCTCAGCTGCCAAAATTAGAGGCAATAAGACTCAGATAAGCATCTGATCCCTGTTTCTTCTGAAGCATGAAACAGTTTCTAACAGATTAACATAAATTGTTGATGGGGGTGATATAAGAACATAGCATGTGAGGTATATATGCATAGGACTTTGGAAGACATGACCAAAGGAATGACCAAGAATACTAATCCTCTCTCTCCTCCCCTCTCCCACTTCCTGATGGAGAGGTTTTGAACTCAAACTACAGAATATGAATTCAGTGTCTATAGCCAATTACATTGCAGCATGGAATAGTACTCTCCTTATATGCAGATCTGAGAAGAGAAAGTATACAGTTTGGCAGCCTCACCACAGAACTTGTACTTCTTCACAGCAAGTAGTGTGATTTAGCTGGAGAACACATGAATAGTATGAAAACAAGGAAGGCATATTGGGGTCAGGCTATGGAGGGCTTTAAAGGACTAAAGAGGCCTCTATAGTCCCAGCTCATGAAGAGGTTGAAGCTGGTGGAATGCTTGAGATACAGAATTCTGAGCTTCAGGAGAGTTGCAGCCACTTGGATGTCTGCATTGAGTCTGCCACCAATACAGTGAGCCTCCTGGGAATGAGAGACACTCGGCCAAGGATGGAACAAACTCAACACTGGCATCAGGCTGTAACTGGCCACTGCATTCTAGCCAGTGTCAAAAAAAAAAAAAACCCCAAAAAAACAAAGCTAGAAAGTAGCTAATGGGAAACTATTGAAGGGCTGGGGGGGGGGTTTGTTTTGTTCTTTAGGAGTGTGGAGTAAGATGATCAGATCTGTACATAAGGAAGGAGAGTAATCTGGTTCCATTGTGAAGGACAGATAGTGGAAGTTGTTGCAGCAGGCCAAGTCAGAGGTAATGTGGACCTAGATGAGTGGTAGTGGCAAGTGGAAGTAAAAAGGATAAGATTAGAAGGGTTTGCCTTGGAAAGAAGGGACCTTCCTCAAGATGGAGAAGAGATGCAGAGATATTTTGAGATCAAGATCTTGATAAAGGATTTTTTTTTTCTTATGACTCACCATTTTCTTTATTTGTACAAAATAGTGAATAGAATAATCATACCCTGACTGGGAAAAAATGGTAGTTTAGGGTTTAAACAAGTCCTTCTGTCCTGAAACATCTATTTTGAAGGCTTGGGACTAGCAGCTTTGGCCCCAGCACCTTTGGGTTTGGACTTAGCAGGCTTAGTAGCCATGGAATCACTGGGCTTTGTGGCCTTGGGATCAGACTTGGAGACCTTGGCATCAGATTTGCTGGGTTTGGGGCCAGA